CGACCTCTGCACAGCTTCTGCAACCTTGGAGAAATCAGGCAAGGTGAGGATCCCTGTAAGAAGATATTTAACCTTGCCATGCTCATCGGTACCTTCTGAAAAAGGACCCATCAAATCGACATGCAGCACCCAAGCATCATGTGTGGAATGCCTGTTATGCCTTGCCCCGCGGGCTGCCCCGGCTAGGCAGGCCGAGCAGTCTCGCCTGAAGTCCACATGGCCCTGGACAACATGTCTCAAGAAGTTCTCTTGATCTCTCAGGGCCCTACATCGGTCCGACACCCATGCATCCAGAGTGGAGACCACTTCACGCTTGATAATGGCCTTGAGTTGAGGTGCCCAAGCTGACCAGGCCGCGGATGGCCACGGTGAGCTTTGTGTAGGAACTGCGGGCTGCACGGTGGGGACCCCATGACCAGGTCCTGACACTAACACGTCAGGTCGCGGAGGAATGCAGGACATGATGGTGGTAGGTTTCCGCTTCTCATGCCCTAGAGGCCCTTGATCAAAGTGTCAGAAGTAAAACCCATACTCTGTGGCAAGGTCTTGAATGGCTTACAAGGCCCAGCAGGAAGAGAAGCCTTCAGCTGGCTTTTCCAACCCCATATCCTTTGGTTCCACCCACGATTCGGGATCCTTGGGCTGTTCCAGGCCAAAAAAGGGTTTGGGTCTACCTAGCTCGGCCGCAACCGCTTCTGCGATAACATACAACCAGATCATTCTGAACATTAGTATTCCATCCGTGAGGATGGCCTCCCTTTCACTGGGAGTGAGGCCCTCAAAACCCCACTGTGTTTGAAGTGAGCGGCCGCGGATCGGCCTAGGCATATTTGGGGGCATATACCTCGACAGCGAATATGTCTTACACGGTGGCCCTCCAAACACTGCTGCCAGCTGGCCTTTCAGTGCTAAAGATTGAAGAAACGCATACGTGTGGTCATCCATAAGGTTTTCTTGAATATCAACACATATGCAATGCGAGCTCGACCGGGGTACCTCCCAAAACTTTTTGGTTGGACCCGAAAACAAATGGAGGGCCAAAGCTTGTGAGCGCATCCATGTGCGGCGTTGCCGACGATTCCAAAAAACCTTGGAGGCATCATGCTCGGCAGCGGCTGGGACCCTGGCCAAAACTTCCAAAGGCAACGACGGAAATCGGTCTGCCAGATATCGACGAGCCAGGGAGGCATCAACTGGCAAAGCGCGAAGTGCATCCTTCAGGCTTACCTTGGCACCGCCTGCCTCCCTCAGAGCCCTGACTGCTTGCACCTGCTGCCTATGCGCAGCCTCGATCTCCTGAATCAATCTAAGGCCAACCTCCCGATCAATTTCAGGACACCCCCCATCGGTGTACACGCGAAGGTCTTGATTACCTGGGCCTCTTACACGGCATCCTCCTTCACGTGTCCAGGATACTCTATACCCTATCTGACACAACCGGTGAAGGGATATTATGGGATCCACAGGCTCAGCAGTCAGCAGAGTTCCACCGGAATTCACACAAAGCCGCACTTCCTCTTGAGCAAGCTGAACTGCTGGCTCTGGGAGGCCCTGCAGTTCAGCCTCCTGAGCTGACCTCATGCAAGCTGTGGCTCCGGAGTCCAAGAGAGCTCTGGAAGACAGACGACCTGGCCCAAGCTTACTGATCCTAAGATTCTTCAGCAGGACGGCCGTGTCCTGCAAAATCTGCTGTGCGCTGGGAGCCAGCGTAGGAGCTGCTTCTCCTTCCTTGGCGGCCTTGACCTTAGGTTCCTGCTTGGGCTTAGCCGCCGGCTCCCCAGGAGCGTCCTTGCTTATCCTAGGGCAGTCTTGCTTACGGTGCTGTGTGCTCGAGCAAACCCAACACCTATTAGTTCCCTTAATCAAGTCCTTACTATGAAAGTCCGGACACCTGGCGGCCTTGGTGCGCCCCATATCCGTGATGCACCAGTACTTGCATGGGGTCTTGGCCTGCTCCCTTCCTCCTCCTCCTTGAGTACCTTGATGAGAGCTTCCCTTTCCCCCTTTTCCTCCTGCAGACTCGGAGGCTGTGCCGCCCTTGGCCTTATTGACTCGGGGTTTTCGAGGCTCTGATGGCTCGCTGTGCTGGAGCAGCTCATACTCTGCCAAGATCAACTGGCCGAATGCCACAATGGATTCGAAGTTAGGCATGTAATCCAACTTCCTTTCATTTCGGAAGGAGTTCAACCGAAAGATCGACTGTTGACTCTTCGATAGCACCTGGCCCATCAACGAGTCTGCTCCCTTGATGAGAAGAGTTGCGTCGGGGAGCATCAGGTTGAGCTCCTTAGCCCTTTGGAGTTGGCGCAACCACCGCCGGCAAGTAGCAATCCCTCCCTCAACCGAAGTGGGCCTATCCGGGGAAACCAAGAATGCCAACACAGTTGCTCGCTCATTCGGTCCTCCAGGCTGGTACCGAGTAAGCACGGCAACTAACACTGCCAGAGGCGACATGGCCCGAACTGCAACCAGCTCTGAACGAATCTCCGAGGGCACAGCCCGCATTAGCAGCACTGTCAACCGCTGCTCAATCAAGACATGTCTGGCTGAGGTCCCCGACCATTCATTAGCTTCTGTCCTGATAGCCAGCCTGGACACAGGGTCAGCAGAAAGCCACCTTGAGTACAACCGATATGCTTCGCGAAGAAGCTGCGACCAAAGCACGCTGGAAGTGGCAGACAGGGATCCTACAACTGGCCCCAGCTGGGTTATCCAGTCACCTGCCAACACGCTACCCTCTTGAGGAGTAAAGCACGGAAGCTCCGGCAATTCTGTAACAGACCTGGACGTCTCTTCAGGTTTCCCTCCACTGTCTCCACTTCGCATGTCCGGCGGAAGCGGAGGAGGTGGAACTCGCTCACTTGTCAAAGCACTCGGACCATCAAGAGGCTGGGCCCAATCCGGCCAATGCAACGCTTCCCCGGGGGGCGGCCCCTTAGGCACTCGAGTTCCATTTGGCGTCATTGGAGACCCTGACAAGCCGAACAACCTTTCAGGCCCAGGCATTGGAGGAGGAGGGGGCGGAGGCGACAGCAACGGTCGTGACTCAGTCGTCACAAACGGATGCACACCATTGTTGTTAAATGGCTTCGCCATTCTTTCAACGTTCGACCCCTGAACTTCTAGTCCCCTTCTTCCCATAACGGCAACCCAGGGAACCCCATCAACCCATACAGTGAGAGCTCGCCCTATGCCGGTGTTGACTACCCCCTCAGGACCACACTGCAGAATCATACCTGAGTCCATGTCGGAACCTGATCCTTGCAACACGGAAGACTCAGGTCTAACTTCAGGAACTGGAGCCAGTACACCAATTCCTGGTCCTGGAGCGTAGGGTTCAGGCTAAACCTGACCTCTGGGCCGAGCATCGAGAAGCCTGCACCTTGCGCCTGTGCCGAAGGGCCGAACCTGACCTCCGAACCGGGCATCGACGAGCCTGCACCTTGTGCCTGTGCCGAGGGGCCGAACCTGACCTTTGAACCGGGCATCGACGAGCCTGCACCTTGTGCCTGTGCCGAGGGGCCGAACCTGACCTCTGAACCGGGCATCGATGAACCTGCACCTTGCACCTGTGCCGAGGGGCCGAACCTGACCTCCGAACGAACCTGACCTCTGAACCGGGCATCGATGAACCTGCACCTTGTGCCGATGGGTCGAACCTGACCTCCTGATGGTGTGCAGACACGTCCAACATCCTATCCAATACACCTGAACGAGCACCTACCTGGGCCGAAGCGATCGCAGGACCTAAAAGGCCGGCCCGTGCACCTACCTGGGCCGAGATATCAGTGCAAGCCTGAGCCGAGGCAAACGCGGGACCTAGGGGCTGTAATCGGGCACCTGTTTGGGTACCAATACCCTGACTACCCCCATTAAATTCTGGGCCATATGACACAGGAATTCCTAGAGGGTCTACGGAGTCCCCATCCCGTGGAAGGTCTTCCAACCTCATAGGTTCCTGAACCCAGTCCTCTAAAGTCAAAGTATCTGAAGCAGATCCCCGTGGCTCACCCCGATCAGGATCCCCTATCCGAAAGAATTGGGTTCCCGATCTAAGTTCTGTAACTTCCACTTGCATGAGCTCGGCGTCAACCCCTTCTCTACCCGTTCTCATAGACGACGAACTGCCAGATCTAATCTCCTCAACTACAGCCAACCTTCTCTGAGTATTCCGCTGCTCCTCGGCCAACCCTGCAACAGCATTGCCCAGCGACACAAGAAGCTCTCGCACTCCCGGAAGTTCCTCCCTCACCGGTGATCTCGATCTCGACGACAGTGATGGAGCACTGGATCGAGGAACTGAGGGCGCAGCCTCCGAAGGTGACCCACTCCCTCGAGCAGGGGCCGGGCTCGTTGCACGAAGGCTCGGTGCCAGTAGTGTGCCAGTACAGAGGCGTATCCACCGCTACGAGCTGTGTCCGACCCATAGTCCGGTTCAGCTTGCCTATCATCATACTCAGCTAACTGCAGGGGTCGGGCTTGTTGCAAACGAAACTCATCGCTCGCCCTTTCACTCCAAAACGGATTAGGTTGTTCTGTTCCTCCAGGGGGTCCTTCTTCCGAACGACGCTCCGAAGGTTCATTGGCTGGGGCATCTTCCAAAGGGTCTACGCCAGAACTAGCAGTCTCCATGGCTCAGCTCAACGTAGCTACAAGGCTCTTAACCTGTGTGCTCCAGGGCACGGACAGGCACCTTTTTCCAAAGGACCCGCAAAAAGACGATCGAAAGTAGGTGTGGGAACTCGCGGTGACAACTATGTCTACACATGAGTGTCGAAAGATGTACTCCATGCTTACGATGGACTACGCCACTTAAAAACTGCATGACTCCAACTGAGCCTGACATGCGCTACGGCTTAGGACATGTCCAAACTGCACACACGCAGTCTGAATTCAGTTCACATTCACATTTGGCAAAAAGGAGCTTAGAACGACTTCAGAAATATGGCCCTTTGGATTTTAGAGAAGTCTCAGGTCTAAGCCAGCCTCCGAGCCACAAGGTCTCGCAGTGGCCAAAGTGGGGCCTTGCCGGGCGATGAGGTGGCGGCGCGTGTTTGGTGGTGCCGGGGCCCTGATGCTCCGTCAGCCAGTTATGTTGGCGTTCTGGTTGCAGACGTGCCTGCGGGCATGGCATGTGAACAACATGTGGGTGTGTGCTACGATTAGCGCACCACACGATCATGGGCTGGTAGGATAAACAGGCTCTCACGCCAACAGGACTCCTGTTTTTTCATCGGATTCCAGGGTGACGCATGCCTGAGGCGCAGATGGTTCATCTGTGCTTTGTACCTCCACGGCTGCGCATCGGGATCCCTTCCGCAGTCTTATGTACAGTGCCCGCGCTGACAAGAACTCTCAGATGCAGGCTGCTCTCACAGTCGATTTTTAAATTTTGTCATGAGCTCAGGTTGAGAATGAATGCTTACAGACTGATAGACTCAGAGATTTGCTTCCGGGCACCAACGGAAGGTGGGCCAAAGTAAGCGGTTTCCCAAAGCTTTCCACAGGTACAAATCCAATGCTTTTCGGGACGGTGCCTTGGCGCCTGCATATCATGAGCTACATGGCGCTGCTCCAGGCTGGATGCCAAGACCTTGGCCACTGGATATTATCGTGGTCTCGCCTTCTTGTACCCGCAAACAATCGGATCATGCATTACTTAAAGACTGCCAAAGATACATGTCTCCCCACATGCTTGCCTTCCACAGTCAGGGACTGAGAGCAAGAATGGTTGCTCGATTGGGCAAGCGACGAGCAATGTTGCTAGCAATGCCATTGTCAAATCACGCCGGTCTTGAAGAGCCAGGATCTGCGAGCAGTGGAGGAGACCATCACGAGCTCTTACTCGCCACGTTCCAAGTCCAACGCACGCTCTACCTAATTGCATCCTTGTCTGGTGTGGGATCCTTTCGACTGAAACGTCTTCCGCTTTCCCTGTGAAGAATGGGTTAACATGGAGTCTGTCATGAGGAAGGCAATTGCGTGATGATCTTGAACCCTGTTTGCACGTTCCTACTTGCAGCTTGTCAAGAGTTGAAAGGTGGCGCGTGGAGCCAGCATTCGTCATGCCCCAAGTGGGCGACAAGCACTACTAAGCGCGTGCAACCAGTCTAGTGACAGCTAACTTTAATATGGATCGTCAGATCTTTGCGGAAAGACTTTGTTTTGTGCAGGTGGAGACCCATCTTATTACACCTCGAACGAACACTAGAAGTTGCCCATGTGCAGTCGTTGGGATTCTGGACATTTCTTGGACCTTTAAACCTTATTCTAAGGTCGCCTCTCTTGAGAATCGCTAGGTTATCCGTGCAGCGCTCGTTACAGAAGCTAAGTATCATTCCTTCCAAAACGGGCATCCTCCTATCCCTGAGAACCCGTATGAGCTATGGTCTAAACTCCTAGTATCCCCCCTTAATAAGCCGTATAGTAGTCCCCTCTATAATCCCCTTTCAGGAGTTTAGACCTTAAACCCTGCACCCCATCTCCTTTTAAGGAGTTTAGACTATAGCTCGTATAGTGTCCAACATGGGAGCCCAGGAGCTGGGCCTCTCCTTGGGGCTTTTCCGGCATCAGCGCATCGATCGCAGGCCTGGCTTTGTAGCAGTCATCAAGTCATTTGATCATTTCATGGGTGTTGTGAAATTTAGGGTTTAGGGGACCCTGGAGGAATCTAGAGAAAAATTGCCAGCGGGTTCAGGTGAGTGAGGAACATGTATGACTTCCGTCGTTTTCAGGGTTCTGCTGTAACCAGTACCAGCAATTATTTTTGTTGCTCTTGTGCTTAATATCACCACAATGATTTTTATCACTATTCTCGTTGCTCACTGTTGTCATGTGACCGTCTACAAGATCTCACAGGGATTGAGCAGTCTGGGTGTGTAAGTGCCTGCATGTAATCTTTCATATTTCAACTGCCCTACATAATTATAGGATTTGCAAAACCTGTCCACTTATCCACACCCACAGGAGGGAGGGGAATTTCATAAATATCGACCCATCTAGACCCCCGCAACAGCATCTACCGCGGGGGAGAAGAGGAAACCCTGAGGCAAGAACAAGTTGGGGTGGGAGCCATCAAGCACGTGACCATATGTCGGGTTAACTGGTGATTGTCGGGGCCTGTCATGTGGAATATATCAAAATGTCCGGGAAATTATTTCTGGAAGCACCTAGAATCATGCCAGGAATTGGAGAGGATAGTAAAAAAAACTGCGTGTTGTTTCTTGTCGTGGCCATTGCAGCATTAACCCCATTGTCTGGGGGGACTTGAACTTTGGCACATGGCCAACTACATGTTTTGGAATCATGGTTTTTGGGCTGTCCGGGATTTGCACGCAGGGATCTACTTTAGGTTGGTTGGTGGGACGGATCTCTTCAAATCAAGTTCTGTTGTCAAACTTTGCTGTTTCTCTGTTTCCACTCTCATGCCAACATCTTCTCTTCCAGGCTCCATTCAAACTGCTTGCAAGCACCCTACATAGCCTTCCAGGCTCATGCCCGATCCCGACGAGGATGCGCTGGCTGCCCAGTGCATGGAGGCCCCAGAACTGGGCATGTTACTGTTACTGGCGTTTCCGCATCTAGTCTGGGGAGCAGAACCGTCCAAGTTGAGGGCTTGCTAAGCGCCCTGAGCGAAAAGGCCCATCCGAGATCAGATGATCGACGGGCCGGGTTATCTTGAAGCCATCAACCAGTCATGGATCCATGGGCCCCTGCGAATTGCGTACTTCCGCGCGTTCGCAGCTGTGGCTCCAGCTCTGCCACTTGAATAACTTTGACTAGTGACTACTGCAGTTCGAAGAAGCGTTGCAAGCCCAGTCAGCAGAAAGAGCAAGGTGTGCTTCGTCAGCTTCCTTTGAGTGCCTCGCAAGTCTGTGAGGCCTTCGAGGCCTAGATTCTGAGCTGAATGCTGCTCGGGGGGATTGCGTACCGCGCGCCTCCTGCCTCCAAAAAGCCGCCATTGTTCAGAGACAGACACAGACCTTGCTGCAGGCATTGGGGGTACTTCAGATTCAAAGTTGAAATCTGTTTACTCTAGACATACAATGGAGCCAACTGTTCTGGAGTGTCAACCAGTGCAGCTTTCCCCTATCTCAGGGCACCGCGTGAAACAGATTGCTCGGGCTCGGGTTTCTGACACCTGAACTACGTACTCCCTTCTTCCTTCGCAGGGATCATAGACGAGTTGATGAAGGCCCGCGTGTTGTGCAGCTCGCCCAATCAACTGCAGCCACTGGCTTTACGATTTCATGGTGCCCAAGCTCTCACCTCGGATTCTTCAGCGTTTACTCCCCAGGGAGAGTAGCAGCCCCTCTACTGCATGAGGCAGCCTTCACAGCCAACACAAATCTTGGACTTCTTCCCTTACCTCAGCAGGATCTCTTCAGCAGCCTAAGTTGAAACTTACAAATGACTTCTGGCAAAGATGGTGGGGTTCAAGATCCGCAGCTTCAGGTGCCTGTGAAGGAGCTGGTTTTCTCGTGAAGATAAACATTTGCTGCACAGCGCTAAAAAGAAGGGAATGAATTGCACTTGAAAGTCACGTCAAAGCCTGCAGCTTGCGGGTGTGAGTCGGTTTTGACAGGTGAGATCGCACTGGAACTTATGAGCCTTGTGCAGTTGTCTTGCTTGAAGGAGATTCGACGGCTGAAGTATCCCGAAGAGATTACCCCGGAGCTCTTCGAAGAGTTTGCTGCCAAGAGTGAGCCAGTGATCATCGAAGGCCAGGCAGCGCGCCGCTTTTCAGCCGGCTTTGCCGGCTTTGCAGTGTAATTCTGATGGACATGATGCCACATTGCGAGCAAGAAGGGGCAGTACAAGAGCGCCAGGCTTGATTGCTGACTGGCCGGCTTTTGCAGATGCTGAGCGAAACTGGCGGGGAAGCAGGTGGGATGACTTAATGGGAGACGAGGCAGGGCCGCTTTGGTGAGGAAAGACCCTGATGTATTTGTCCTGGAATGTACTTGAATGTGAGTCCTTGAGGTCCTGGATGTAGGCTTCGACCCAGCAGATAGCCGAATGATGCACTTCGGCAACTTGGCTTGGTCATTTAAGGTGCTATTGTCGGAAGTTTGGGCACTGTGAGCTCTCCACTGAGGCATTTCCCAAGTTCTCCAGGGGACCTTTGTTTTGTAGCAGACTTGGTGCAATGTCTGCAGCCCAGGGGACGACTGCGGCGAGCCAGAGGTCCTCTTCAACCCTGGTCGCCTGCGCCTGCCAGCCTGGGCCTTCCGGGAGGCTCCCCCGTTTGGTGGGTGGGTGAGGGGATTGCGAATGCCGATGGTTTTTGAGGATATCCTCTTGTTGCTCGTGACAGTTCTCCTGCTCAAGCGACCGGAGTTTCCACATCATCCCGGCGTCTGCCAAGCACACGTTTATGTTTCTGGCTCCCAAAATGGTCAGCTGCTTATGGCTGGCTTTTGGAAGCCTCGTGGCACAGGCCGTCCGTGTGCATGAAGGCGAGGGTAGCCAGGGAATGAACAAGCAGTTCAGGGCAACTTGCGTTCAGCCGTGGCTCCCGGAGGATAAGGCTTGCTCTGCACGCAGCAGAGAAGAGTTGCCCCATCTCCCAGCAGAGACCGTGTATTCGGTGCAGTATGCCAGCAATCCAATCACAAGCAACGGTATGGGGTGGTTGTCTGAGCTCCTCTCATTCACCCATTCCGCTCTGGTGATTACTGAGATCAAAGCGGATGGCGATACCTCAGCTCCCACATCTCTGCTTTTCGAATACTTCGCACGCTTCTTTGGCCCTAAAGCGATCATGCCTACTTCCCTGGCAGATGGAAAGCCGATCTGGGAGAACCAAGCTGTAGTGGGCTGGCGCCCGGCGGAGGAGGATGAGTGGCTCGCCAAATCAAACGTGACTCTAGTGGGCACCGCTACTGGAAAGACGTTGAACAAATGGTTCGAAGAGGTGATCATATATGGTGAGCAGCACCCAGGCTATAATCTATTCAACGTGTGGAACAGCACAGATGTTTTCACGCGCCTTCCCTACGTGCAGGACAGCGTTTGCCATTCCTTCACCGAGTGGAGTCTAGTGACCCTTTACCAGCTCGGCGCTGATTTTTCGGTTGAAGGTGCGTTATGCCGTAACTATATGTCCTTCATCACCAACACGCGCCCAACAATACTCGATTTGACCTTGCCAGCCGACATGCGAAAGATTAGCAGTTTCTACGGAAGCATCCAGTCGCTTGCCTCCACGACGTTTCGTGACATGGCCGCCTTCGGTTCCACCCTCTTGCGCGCAGCTAAGAGCGAGTTGATCGACTTGGAGGTGGTGGTCTTCGAGCGAGGTCTTGGTGAGTCCCATGGAGTTTATGTTGGGGCAAAGTTGGCCAAACCCTACGTGGGGGTAGAGCCACACCAGCTTTCTCAGCGAATGATCCTTCCCTGGCAGAAGATACCGGCCAATGCGGATGGTGAGTGTCAGCATATCAGCACAGAGAAGATTGTTTCCATGGTCACGCCAGACTTTCAAAAGGCCCCAAAGCCAGAAAGTCCTACCTTGGGGCTTTAGCGGATGATGCTGACATGAGTGGCGACTGTGTTAACATGAGATCTCACTTCATCAGTGTCAGCCATGGAGGAAAGAGCAGCATGGTCCGAGCAGCAGCTGTTTGTCGTTGACCCGTGAGAACAAAAAGTCTGGGCACTTTGAACAATCCTTCGTCTGCTAGCCTTGTTTCTTCGTTTTTGCTGCTCCACGGATTGGCGATATGTAGCAGCATGAAGGAATTGTTTCGAAAATGGAGGTTACCGGAAACTTTTGGGGATCTGCAAAGTGATTGATGCCCCGTGCCGATGCAATCCTGACTTCAACAAGCCAATGCCTCTGCGTGGAGATGTGTCGTCTTCTCTGGCGATGTACGCGACTTGTTAAGCACTCTTGGTTGTCCGCAGAGCTTGATTGATTCCAATTCAGGTGGCGCTGCTGCGACAAGAGATCCTGCGCCTGCGCGAAGAAGAAGGTCTGCGAATGTCTGCAATCCATCAAGCGGGGACGTTGAGAAGCGGATCAGGGCATGCAGAGTGCGATCAATGTTAATGTTTGCATGTGAGTCCATGGCTTCCAACCAAGGATTGCCAGATGCAATATGTCTAATGTCCGAAATATGCCAACATCTCAGACTCGTGCAGGTCGCGTAGATCTGACCAAGCACGAGCACCTGCGCCGGCGCCTGGCACGCAGGGCACTTGGATGTCCACCACAGTTCGGGGTTTGGAATACGTACAAGTAGCAGCACTACCGTTCTCGATTTCTTACCCGGTCGACTGGAGGTGAGGTATCTGTACAAAATGTGCCCTTCCTGGCTGTGGACGCAGACTCCCCGCCGCTGACTTGGCAATGTCTCTTATGTGAGGGTCTGTCTTTTATTTGTTAATGTCTTCGCTGGATCGCAGTGGCGCTGAGTTCTTGAAATGCAGCCGTTGTCATCTTATGATAGTCCAAACTGACCATGTTTTTTTTGCGAGTGCAAGGGTGTAAGCGGGGGAAGCAGGGGAACCGGCAGGAGAAAGACAACTGTCGTAAGCGGCGAAAGCGGTGACCTTGGGCGGCGTAGGCGGTGTAAGCGGCGTCATCGGCGAAATCAACTCCCCCAACAACCAATACACATCAATGCACAAATTCCAGAAAGATCTCAATTTCAGAGCCCTGAACCTGTTCAACTCTATCATATCCAAACCAGTGTTCGCATTGCCCAGGTTGCACTTCTTCGCTCCGCTGGAATGCCGAATGAGGGACCTGTTGTGGCGGCCTATGAGTTTACGGCTTCTGCATGTGGAACATCAGAAAGACAACGACTTTCCTGCCTAAGGCCCTTGTCATTTTACCTGTCCCATGATACCTACGCTCTGCCAACCGAGATGCAGAAGGACTGCTTTGCTCGAGTCCTCCAGGATCAAGTCTACTGTCATTCCCGCCTGTTGCGCCATGCCGTGCTGAGAGAAGTGATACATGTACCTGCAACTTCTGGAGCTGAAATGGAGTAGAGGAACCTGATGATCACTCTCAAGCGCGCCCTTTCCATGATTAGGATGTCTCTTGCTATAATAATATATCCCCAATATACTATAGTAGTTTTCCTTTTCTTTTCCATTATCCCAATGTAACCCCTATATGACCCTTACGTAACCCTATAAACCCATATACTATAGTATAGTATGAATATATTGTAGTACTGCCCAGTGCCTCCGGAGTCATAGGCTGAGAGCACCTGAGCCTTGCTGAGCCTTGCAGGACTTGGGTCCGCAGGCCCGGCTGTCCTCTCGTGCCCGCTGATTATTCTTATATACTTGTTCTATTAGAGATTATTAGGGTCATTATTGTTCCTAGTATTTTCATTATTATTCTTATATACTTGTTCTATTAGAGATTATTAGACTTTTTACTGTTCCTATTATTATCATTATTATCCTTATATGATATTATTGTGTTATTATCATTATCATTATTGCTGCAGTATTATATTATTTAGAATATTTGTTGTTCCGGGATTCAAGCAGCAGATGTTATGGTTCCACGTTTGCACATTTCACTTTCCAAGAACAGGACCCACGCCCGAAGGACTTGTAATCAACTGGAACTTTCTCAGCAGAATCCTATATACTTAGTAGGGACCCCTAGGATCCCACTTATAACCCCAATAGTCCTGGCACCGCAAAGAGTTTTCTCCCCCCTACCTAAATGCAAATGCTTGAAATACCCTAAACCCTAAAACGATGTATTCCAAACTGCGAACCAGCTGTGGCGCCTTCGACTTTAGGGTTATGCTGGAAGGCGCCAAAGCTGATCGCGGGCTGGGCCAGCTGTTGCCTCTGCTTTAAAAGGAAGGTTTGTGTTGGGGGTTTCTGAGTTTTGGGTTTCAGGTTTTAGGCTAAACTTTTAGGCAATTGTACGGATTCGGAGTTTGAGGTTTCGGGTTCAGGGTTGGGGCTCAGGGTTCAGGTTCGGGTTCAAAGGCTTTGGGTGCAGGGGCTCGGGGAGTTTGGGGCTAAGGCAGAGACATAACGGAGAATGTATCGACCCGAAGATTAGGATGATGCAGTTGTTCACCCCCCGGGTTCAGCGTTGTTGGGCCAAAGTATTTGGAATATCGGGCGGGAGTATGTTGTTTATAGTTCTATGGGGATTGGTCTAAATTCCCTATAATACGGGGTCCTATATTTGGTTTCTCTTTATAATACAGGGCCCTATATAAATTTCCCCCATTTGGGAATAGTAATTTAGGGAAACTACCATATAGGAATTGACGCGGACAATTTTCCCAGCCAATCAGCCTGTACAAGGGGACTATGGTACAAGTACATGGGAAGCATGAAGGGTACTGGGGAGGAAGTAGGGGCTATATGGTACTTTCCCTGGATAGCAGGAGCGCAATATAGACCCCAGTATACTATAGCCTTTGTTTCGGGGACCCCAAACTGAATGGAACCCTCAATTTCGAAAAAGAAAAAACATGTGGGGCTCGAGACATGCATTGTCTGGGCTTGGAATGTCTCAGACTATGGGTCCTGACTTAGGCCCATGCGGAGGCATTTCACTTATTTATGGTGTTGGGTGTGTGTTCTCTACCCCTGTCTTCATACAAAGCCATGTGAAGATGTTTCTACTAACCTTGATGGAAGAGAAAGCAAGGGGCTCTTTGAACATCGGTTGTGCATTTATGAGAACATGAAGGAAATCAAGCAGGCGCCCGGCAATTTTGACAAGATTGTTGGTTGTATTTTCCGAGGAACTGCAAGCTCAGGTCCAAACTCCTCGCGCATTTGGGCAACCAATGGGGCGCCGTGGCTACTGCCTCAGACAAGGTGGAAGGGAGCCTCAGGGTTCATGTGAGCTCTAAAAGAAGTTCCAAGGCGGGTGCCGTATCCGCCGTGGGGTGACAAATCTGTTCCTGAGCCTGGCCAGGAGAAATTCACAGCTAGACCGTACTTTGCAATATTATCCCCCCCCGAAGTGTACCCCCCCCAGATTTAGAATCCTATTGGGCCTTATTTAAGCCCTGTATGGTCTTGATCAGCTCCTTATACCCTGGCGGGTTGCCTTTGGGGTGCATGGTATTATAAGCAGCTCCCAGACAGCCAGGACTCTATGATCTACAGCTGCTTCCACTGCGACCGCATGGACCGGTGCTCTGCAGAGGGTTGGGAGATCTTGGCTAGTTTTTCATGTTCAAAAGGCCAACGCCTGAATGCCAACATCCTGAACATGAGATTTCCAGGAGAATTTCCACTCTCTGCTGGCCGGGCAGAAGGAGGCGAGGTTAGCTCTGCACTGGAAACAGCAGCGCAAACTGCTGGAGAAAGCGCATTTTGGTCATGCATGAGGTCGTGTTGGTGCCTCCTGGCCATCGTGATGTCCTCAAATCCACGAGGTATGCCACGCAGAAGTGACCTGGTTGCAAAAAACATGCAATGGAGGCAGAACACGTCGTTGGCAACCTCAAAGCTCCCTGATTTGCCAGCATGTCAAGACTCTAGCATTATACAATCCTTTTCGCAAGATACGACGGTTGCAACGCCTATCTCTATGTGCTTTGCCTCAACATTCTTGCGTGAAAGCCCAGGGCATGTGAGCTTTGAAAGGCTTCCATCTTCTCAAAAACCGGTGGTACAGCTCGCTCACCTGATTAGGCAATGGCTGCTGGCGCCAGTGTCTGCTGGATCCCAGAGATATCTTGGTTCCACCCTGTGGCCACCTGAGCGGGTGGAGTTTTGGCAGACAGTTTGCAATGACGGGCGTATCCTTCGAGCACCAATGAATACAAAAACAACCTTGCGTCTCGCCTCAGAACTGACGTTGCAAGAAGCGTTTGACACTTCGGGTTGATGGGTCATGCTGGCACTTCTAGCTTGTAGGCCTTCGTGCTTGCTGAAAGTCCTGCAGATTCAGGTTTACTTCAAAGCAGACGGAGTGCACGAGCGATCAGAGCGCCGTGCATCCTTTCCGTCCGGCAGAGGTTAACCGTAAGGCGGGGGGCTGAACTGTGGGGTATTCGTGCTTGACAGTGCCTCTGATGCGTTCAGCTTCCTTACGCCCTCATTTCTGAAACCTTACTCGCAAGGCCTAAGAAAATTTCAACCGCCTCTAGAACACCTGCATCCAAATCTTTTCAACCAGAATGTGTTGGAAACCAGGTCTCCAGAGGGCAGTGGCCCGACAGCGTGGACTTCCCTGTGCGGCGCGGCACGTTGAGGAAGGGAGATACGTGAGCCTCCCGGATAAGACGCTTCTGCTGATACGTGCTTTCTCTACCTGATTACCGTTCGCTTGTACCATCTCATCAGACAGAAAGAACATTTTCGGCCTTCGAAGAGTAGTCTGTAGCCTCAGGCTCTACATTCCAGCATACCACTGGCATTGGGTGGCAACTTCCACGCCACCCTCCTTGGGCATCCAGGACGAGAGCGTGAGCTGCTAAAGAATCTTGGGGTCTGAGCTGAATTGAGCGCAAAGCCTGTGAAGCCCGAACACAAGCCGTTGCAGCTTTTGTCTTTCTAGTTCAGGAAAGGACTATGAAGCCCCACAAAACCTGGACCATCAGCCTGAAGCCCTAGAGCTTTTCGAGGACGATGGTCCGCTTGCTCTCTCTGTCAACTTCTGGCCGCTTCCTTATGCTCAGCCGCTGAAGGTCTGGAAAGCTTCAGACTGAAGGCCTTCTTGCCTGATCATTTCTTGGACTTGAATCTTGAAGCTTTGGGAACATATTTGTATGTTGTGGCATGTGGCAGAATGAGGTAGAGCACTGCTGAGGTGGTGGCCCATACATAATGACAAGGTCTGAGCCTTAAAGCATCCATGATACGAGCTCACGTGAATCCATACCCTCCTGCCACTGAACCGTAAAGACCGCTGAAATGCTCACAAAACTTATCGCGTCTTTGGTGCAGTCCTAGAAGATTCAGTCGTTCGGAGCCCAACGTTGAGGCCATGGAGAACTGGAGCTTCCAGAATGAGTGTGAGCCCGCCCCCGAGAAAGGTAATAATCAGTTTTGGATGCTGTCTCGAGGGAATTGCTCTTGACCAATGTGTGAGGTCATTTGAAAATGCTCGGATTCCACTGTCGGCCACCCAGCCCTTCCCGCAACTAGCGTAGCCATGTTGACAGGAAGGGCGGCATCTTTGTATCCTGAAGTCATCAAGCCACATGAAGATTCTCGTATACAAAATAAATCTCAATAACTTCTGTAGCAGCAGAAATGTATCATCCTTGCACTATTTTTCAAGCTCTTGCTTTCGCAAAGAGAAGTTGCAAGCCCAGGCCAAAGGACAAGCCGCTGCCCGATCGCGCGGCTCATGCAGTATCCTTCTACCAACTCACAGCACGACAGAGGCTTGGGAAGCCTGCCTGAGAACCGCACTCCCAATTAGATTCTTTCACATGAATATACTCCCGTGGATGCATAAGCTGCTTGTGGTGCCAGCACTTGCCTTCTTAAGCCCCTGAAGGTCAATTCACCCAAAATCCTGGAGCCTAATTTCGACAGGCAGGAAGCCTCCATCCCGAAGCCGTGGCCGACAGGTGGGAGCGGCAAGTGGGTAGGCGATCATTAAGACATGTGGAGCCTACTATTGTTGCTACTGTTATGCGCTGTTTGGGTGGCTTGCCCCACGCCATCCAAATGGCGAGTAGAACGGCGCATTTGGATGGTTTGCCCTGGGAGATGTGAAAAGAGTAAGACAACACTGGCAAGGGCAGTATTTTCAGGCCCGGGTGCGTACTGACTTGACTCGCCAAAATGGACAACTTGGCGGCCGAAAATCCAAGCCTTTGCGGCTCTATGGTCAGATCGGGGGCCGTTGCGCTAACGCCATGTAGACTACATCTAGATGCACGTATGAACTCTGCTGTGCAAATACCAGCAGCAGCAGAAGATGCGGCGCGGCGAGGTCAGCAGCGTGCATTTAGCGTACCGGCTCGCCAAGACCTAGAAAGACGAAAAACGCAGGATAACTTCTCGCCGATTTCCATGCTACAACTACAACTTTCAAGTTTTCATTGCAAGTGGAGTGGCAGGGGGCAGCGCTGCTCCTGATGCCCGCAGTTCCAGCAGCAGTAAATCAAGAATCGAGAGTGCTTGGGACTCAGAACCGGGTGTAGTGTCGGGCGTTTACTCTTCAGAGTTTAACCGAAAGAAGCGTAATTTTAGACTTTTGGGTTTAGGGCAGGCGCATTTCCCTAAGTGCATAGAATATGCATTAGCCACATCAGAACTACATGTGGGTTATCACCAAGGCTAGCAGCTCCTTGGAGTTTGCGAGAGTTCTTGATTACCAACACAGTTTCTTGGGCTATGGACAGCTTTTGGTACCACATGGTCTGACATTTTGGAGATTTGGAGGCTTGCGCCGGGGGGTGGAGGCCCTCTAAATGCCCGATATGTTGGGTGAAGCCTCCATCCCCCCACCGCCCCAACATAACCTGACATCAGCAGCATCTCCTAGTATGTGGGGGGGGGGGAAGGCCCTAACTAAAGTTGGATTGCACTTGTTCCGCCTAATCAAGTATACTTCCGCACGGACCCAAGCAAGGTATGCTCCTGCATCATGAGCCCATACTCCCTTGTAACATCCCCTCATCCATCATTCAGCATTCTTATCCCCAGACTCAATCACTTTCGAAATAGTCGCCCGTCTTAACGTGGGTTGCCCAAGGTGGGGGAAGAGGGTGGTCCTGGGGTCAGGGGAAGATTCCTGCATATCCACTTTTTGCTGTTACCTTTTTGAAAACACATGATGGACACGTGATGCATATCTTCTACAAAGTGCACCTGGAATTGGGGATCTTCTGGCTTGCCTAATGAGACGGTGGCAGCAGACCTCCATACATCCAGAAATCCCAGCTGGAGCTTGGGATCCGTGCTTTCCTACTGGGACAGTCATAGCCTTTATAGATAAGGGGTTTCCACATAGATCTCTTCAATATTCCCGAGTCATGCATGGTTTTTGGGTCTGACAATTAATTGTTTGGCGGGACGACCGAATGGATGTGTTTCAGTCTTGCGAAGCCAGTACAGGATGGTCAGCGTTGCTACGAGTCTTCACCCTAAAATGAGCTATAGTCTAAACTCCCCAAATTGGGTTACATAGCGGATTGTATAGGAGAGTACCATGGGGGGTTATGAAGATAGATGCTTGGAATTTAGACTCTAGCTCGCATAGACTTCTAGCTTTCGTCCGTGCCCTTTTCCCAGTTCTTTTGAAGCTGGCAATTACATGGAAACCATGAAGTGGTGTGTTGCTTCTGCAGTTCTCATTTTCACTATTAGCCAGTTTTGTGGGCCTTTTTCATACAGGCACTTTTCAACCTCATGGATCCAACAACAAGGTTGAAAACAAAGCTCTTCCAGCGGTTGGGCAGTCATTTCGACTCTTGCCCGGCATGAAAACCACCTCCCACTAAGCCGTAGTCAGTTCCTCGTAGTACTCGGAAGCTTTTTGTGTGTGCTTTGGTTGAGGCTGCTGCTGCGAAGAACAGAAAGTTCATCCTGGAGTTCGAGCTCGTAGACTAGTCACTTCAAGCCTGGCCCTCGCTGGCCAAGCCCCAAACCAAATTCTATGGATCAACGCCTTCATGCCCCGAAAGTTCTTTCTGAAAAAGACTGCAGCTCCTTGTCAGAGCTCGGCTTGTGTAGTTAGGTTGTAGGACTAGGATTGCAGTGCCACAAGTGGAGCCTTTGACTGAGAAGGAGCCCAAAAAGGTTCCTGACCAGGTGAAGGGAGACCTGCGGCTGCCACAGTTTCTTTGCAGACGTCCGTTTCGGGTGTCAGCTAAGAAAGTCCTTGCAGTGTGCGGCTGCTGTCGCTTTGGGGGTGGAGCATCATGTTAGCGACAGCCCTGTGGCGGTGACATGCACGTACTTGCGACAGCTGCAGCAACAAGAGCTGACAGTATTTGGTAAGGTTCCATCAATCTCAATTCCCGCTGCGCGAGAATTGCAATCCGAAGGTGATCCTCCATGCAGCCACCCATGAAGCAAATTCACCACAACTTCTCACACAGCCCAAGACCCCACAGCTCACCCAACCCCTCACCCCAGCTCTATACTACTAGTAAGAGCAGTAATAGAACAGTAATACGAGTATCAACAGCAATGATAGCACAGATAGTCTTAGCAACGCAAGTATTACTAATCACCCAACCCCACACCCCAGCCTCCGGTGCGGAAAGTTTTCCCTCCGTGGGCCATGGCGCGATGCCACGCGCGCGCGATCGCCAGAGCCGAGGATCCCGGGCAGGCAGAGTTAGGTTGGTTTTATTGGGTTTTATAGGGATAATGGAAAATCAAAAAAAGGAAACTGCTATAATGGGTTGTATAGGGGTATATAGGGTTTTATAGGGATGATGGAAAATCAAATGGAAACTTCTATTTAGGGTTTAGGGTTTAGGAGAGTGCTCCGGGGGCAGATTACTGCCAGTACTACTGCCAGTCTCATTATTGCTATTATGACTGTTATTTATGATTGTTACAATTTTGGTTGCTATTGTGATTATCCGGATTATTGATATTTTTTGGACTTTGTGATTATTGTGATTTATTGTCTTACTATTCGTATTGCTGTTGTGATTGCTATCATGAATAGATAAGAGTGTTCTATTGTTGTTGTTGCTTTTCCTTATTCTTCTTGCTATTGCTGCTAGTATCACCAGTATTGTGATTATTGGTTCTGTACTGTTAGTACTGTTACTACTTTTATTCCCATTATCATTACTATCATTACGCTTGTTTATTCTTGGTATAATTTTTCAGTTTTGCGACTGTTATCTGTCATCGTTATTACTACTAGTTTGTTATTATCATTTTTACTATTCTTATTGCTATTGCTAGTGTGGGGGCAGGGATTCTTGAGGGGATGATTGCTTCTACCAGAACCTGAGGGCTGCAGTGGCTATCCATGCTCTGTGTTTTTTTTTCAGTCACCTTGAAACGGCAATTGTTTGGCAAAGCATCTGCAAAGCCCCGCAGTCCGTAAGAAACATCCATTCATCGCCCAAATAGTAGTCTCCATGTCATTTTCCATTATCCCTATATAACCCCAATGTAACCCCAACATAACCCCAATATTACCCTTATATGGCCCCACTATATAACCATAACCCATTATAGCAGTTTCCATTTTATTTTCCATTATCCCTATATAACCCCAATATATTCCCTATAATCCTTATATAAACCCTATATAATCCCTATAATCCCTATAGTTTCCATTTTCTTTTCCATTATCCCTATATAACCCTTACATGTTATCACTATTTTGGGAAACTACTAACTTCAGCAGGGCTGGCAGCGCTGGCGTGGCTGTCCCAGCGCTGGGAGGCCTTGGTCTCCTGGTGGCAGCAGGCCTTCAAGCTTTCAGGGTGCAGTTGCGTTGCTGTGTTTTCTTGATATAAGCTTTGCAGGAAGTGTTTCCTGCACCAAGAGGATTAGTCCTCGGGTTCTGCGAAGCGTTTGGCATCCATCCTTGGTAGCCAGGACTCGCGCCCACCCGGCGAGGTATTGGAGTTGGTGTAGCTGGGATTGCATACCAGCCATGTCCTGTTTCTTGCGGCTTTCGACTTTTGCACGCATGCAATGGTGAGTCGGTGAGGTATGTGGGAGGCGCCATGCTGCGGGAGAGCTGCGAGCTGAACTCGGCAGAGGTGGCCGTGGTCCACTGTGGCGAGAGGGTGCTCCTCTTGCAAGAGGCCGGGCATGTCGGACAAGTTGGAAACAACCACAAACATCTTCAATGACCCTAGATGTAAGTTTAGTGCTTGACTTTGATGTAGGCCTTAGACTGGCGTTGTTGTCAATGTGCGTTTCTTCTGGTTCCATGACCATTGGCTCTGGAGCTGCCATATTTTAAAAAAGGACAAATCAAAACGGAGATTTTCGGGACACCTGGCAACGTGACTCTACGGCCTGATAGGCCCAGTATATGGTTTAAGATTGTCATCCACACTAACAAGCCTGTGCAGCAGAATTCCCCTGACAGGTTTACATCCTCTTTGCATTCTGTAAGCCCATGGATTCTGAGTGCAGGTGAGTATCATCTTCATTGCGGATGGCATCATCCTAACCATGAAGTGATGTGATATCTTCTTCTTAGTTGCAGTCGTTGATCAGCAGAACAGAATCTCGCTTGGTTAAACCACCAGGAAGACCCTGCTCTGGTATTATAGGATCCTATGTATTATTACACCTACTCTTATTCCCCCTTTCCGAAACACCCGAAATAAGGCCAATGTGGGGTATATATTAAGGACCTGTAAGGGCTTGCTTAAGGCTTCTTAGGGCTTATTTACTTACTGGGAGCTAGTAGGGAATAAGGGAACATAATCGCCATAACAATCCCTACCTACAAAGCACTCCCCTATCCCCCACTAAGCCCAGTAAGTTTAGGCCTTACTTGGGAAATCCCATACCCTAAATCTAAATAATAGCTTCCATTTTCTTTTCCATTATCCCTATATCACCCCTATATAACCCAAATATATATATATATATACGTATACACCCTATAATCCTTATGTAAACCCGATAGATTCCCCATTGTCTCTAGTAGTTTCCATTCTCCTTTGCACTATCCCTATATCCCTTTGAAGTGACAGGTGGGTAGGCGGGCTCGGGTCCGCACTGTCGACGGTTTCACCGGCTGGTTATCCCTCTACACGGCCCCTGGCCTAAGGTTTAGGGTTTAGGGTTTGGGGTTTAGGGTTTATAGTCCCCCTTAAGTAGGTAGAATATGGCTTTGGGTATATTATAATAGAATCCCCATATACCCCATATTCTATCTAGGCAAGGGGACCATGGGTGCAGCTCCAAGGTCTTAGGGGCCCTTAATGTCGCGCATAAGGACCCTAGGATGAAGGGCCCATACTGGGGTCCATAGTTCTAACCTGTCGATGTTCCAGTTCTTGCGTTCATATCTAGGATCTTGGAACGTGGTTTTGTCGAGGATTCTTGCATGTTCTGCACGTTCAGCCTCTCGGAAGTTTGCGATTCAGTGAGTTTCCTTATCGTGTCCTTGCAGCAGCACGAGAATGCTAGAGATGACTTTCGCCAACGCATTCCCGGGGTTTCACCAAAGTGTAGTCCTTGCTGTTAGAAGTTGGAAGTAGTTTTTGAACCGATATAAGGTTGTAGAACATGGACTGGCCAAAGCTTGGGATTTTGGGCGCAGAAATAAATCCCGAGGGGCTGGGCCTTCTCCAGCAGATCAAAAGCCCCTCAACAAAACCATGATGCCTGGGCCCTGAGACACCCAGGCCGAGGATGTGCCCATCGCGCGCAAAGTCTCCCGCGATGTCCAGCACACTTTCAAGGTGCAGGGATCAGCAGGCGTTGTCTACGTTCGGATGACTTAGTAGTGAAATGCAGGTCGTGCAGGGGTTGAGCAGTGATTAAACCTATTGCTCAGGCCGTTGATCCGCGTAGGCTTAGCAGAGCGTAGGCTTGTTTTGGGAGGTGTAAGTGTCTTTTGCAAAGAGCTGGGAGGGCGTGACAAGTAATGCAAGAGACCAAACCTCCCATGATCCTAGCCTTTGTTGAACGTGTCCGCAGATTAACTGTTCTTTAGGAAGCAACTGGCCTTTTGGGCAGTCTTCATGGCAAGGTACTGTGATCTGGGGCGTTAATCATAGGAACACAGAGGCTACTGGAGGCTGAAAAGACGCCTTGGCCGCTCTTCAGAGAAATTCTGCAGCCGGTATGTCCCGACCAGGACAGAGGCAGAGCATCCTTCCACGAGGAGTTTGAGCAGAAGTGGCGAAGGCAAATCATTGGACTGATTCGGAATGATGTTAGCTGAGCATGCAAGACCTGCTTTTGGGAGGGAAGGTCAGGAAGATCCCCGCTGTGGGATTCCTGCTAGATGTCCGTTACAATGGGGTGGAAGCAATACTTTCAGAAGATCACTGTTGTCAGGTTGTTTGGGTTTCGCCAGGACGTGTCACAGAACATGAGATAGAAAATGGAGAGTGGCATGCCCTTTCTCAGAATCGTGTCTCAGCAAGCAGCACTTTCTCAAGCCAACCATGGGAACAAGCTTGTTCTGACTAGTCGTCCCAGGGATCCTGATGTACCAGGCTTCGCGCGGACCCTGGCCCTCCAGAGGCCAAGGGATGGTGTTGCTTGTGCATGGGGTGGTTGCTTCTTCTTGAACAGGCATGGTGGTGTGCTTTGGGTTTGTAGCCGGCCGTTCCCGGCATCATAGCTCAGATGTTTCTTGCAGGGGAGAATCCATACTCTGCGGCAGAGTGCTGGAAGAGTTCCCATCAGCGAGTGGCGGCCTTCAGGCAAGGGAATGTCCAGCTAGTCACCATTGACCTTGTGCCAGCCTGAAGACCTGGACCTCAAAATGCCTGGCACCCCGAGCTGTGAAGTTCTTCGCCAGTGCTGCTCACCACAGCAAGGAGCGCTCAGAGCCCCGAGCCCACAGCGCACGCCGCCTGTGCCGCGAATCTCACCGCCAAGCAGCACGCCCCCGTCACGCTGCTTCATAGTTGTTGGGCGCAGTGTCTAGGGTTACCGATCTGCAGTGGCCATGCGGCTAGACGTTTCAGGTATTGCGGGCTAGGGTCCAGATTTCAGATGTGGGTACTTCGAACACCTCAAGCTGCCATGTTTGCAAGGGTTTTTAGCAGCTGGCTGGAGAATATGCAACATCATCAACTCGGGAAGCCTGGTGGACATGCTCATGTTATGACTCATCAAGAGGACAGACATCAGCAATACAGTTAGGAGAAGAACAGCAATGCTCTTGGCCAAGGAGAGACAGCACACCTGCCGCCGCATCCAGTTCGGAAGGCTCCGGTAGAAGGGCATCACTTTGGACAGTGCGATCAAAAACCCCAAACCTCCTAAACTCTGAATCCGCCAAGATCACCAAGCGCCCTCATTCACTTGCAAGCCAACAAGATGCATCTCTGAGACGCGCGGAATCTCAACTCGGAGTGTCTGGCAGGTGCTGTGACACGGGCTCGCCCCATGGAAGATTTGCTGGACCTCAGTGAGGAGTTCAAGGACTGCATCATCCTACCGCCGCCGTTCGCTTTGCACCATCATTGGTGTTGCCAGCATGAGGTGAACAGTTTGAGGCTGTGGCGGTGGCGGCAGCGGTTGCGCCTCACCAGTGAGACAGTTGTAGTCACAACATGCGGTAGGTCCCCAAAATCATGGGGACCCCAATATGGACCCTAATATACTATAGTCCTTATTATAGGGATCCCCGAGTAGGTACCCCTAATTTTGGGAAGCTCCCCCATGTATTGTAGGCCCAAGGGCTCATTGACAAACCCTCAACCTCCATACACTCTGTACCCTTAGCCAAGGAGTGCAGCCTTCCAAGCCCTTACAAAGGGCTTAGGGTTTGGGGTTCAGGAACAGGGACAGTACTGCTGGATGTTATAGTCCTTGTATACCCTGCATGATAGTGGTAATCAGGTAGCACGTGTGCCCCCAAAAAACCAAACACCTGTCAGCTCCATCGCCAACCTTCAACCTCAGGCTGACGCATGAAGAAAGGAAAGGGATATTAGTATAGTATATCATGGAATACTATGGCACATTATGGTATATTATAGTACATCATAGTATATTATAGTAGCTCATTGGTCAGCTCTCGTCCAGAGCCCTTGGAAAGATCTTAGTGGGCTTGAAGGAAAACATTAGTGACATTTCAGTACATGTGATGATGACAAGGCTAAGGAAGTCCTGTAGTGTGGGCAGCAATTTCAGCTATACTGGCAGAAGTCCATATTTCTTCCTGAAATCCGTGGGTAGGAGCCGCCAAGCTCCCAGCGCAGCCGCGTTCCGGATCTGGCGGAAGTCCTATCCGCAGCTGCAGGCGCAGTGTGGGCGCTTGAGGAGAAATATGTTGAGAGTTTATGGATGCAGTGTGCCATGGTTCATTCTGTGCAGAGTCGCACGCCTTATTAGGGAAAGCAATGTGAAGTTTGTAGGGTCCTCGAAGATGTAGAGTTGCAGGGATCGAGATGCAGTGTCCAGCGCACAAGAGTTCAGGATGTACAGGTTGGGTGTTCAGGATGGAGATTCTGGTGTTCTGTTTGAGTTCCAAGCCAATGTTCAGGTTTCACAGCCAAGCTGCCTTTGCTGATCTTTCACGAGGCTCCAGCCCTCCCACCTACCGCGACCTTGGTGACATGGACAGCGCTGCTGGACCCAGCGGCATCCCCGAAGCACCACCCTCGCGGGAGCCCAGGGCTTCTTACAACCATTCTGACTGTTGCGATCTTCTTGTCTTTGTCTCAGACACCAGTACGCAAAAAAACAGAGAAAGCCACAGATACAGTCGTGATTTGCAACTCATTTGTGCCGCGAATCGTGCTTGGCCTGGCATGCGCAAGTTGAATCATCTTCAGGAGAAGGGTGGCCTCGCAGTTTGGGGCGAGGAAAGCGAGGCGATGGCACGCTGGGGCTGAAGCTGTTGTTGATGTCAGCTTGGGAAGCCTTGAGCCTGAAAAAAGATGGGGTGTGCTGCGGTAGTCTGCCAGCTGTTAGAGAGTTGTGATTCACGTAAAGTACAAGCCCCGCAGGCACTGCTACCACAGCTCACCAACTTCGAGCAGTTCCTGGATGAGCAGCCGGATGAGGTTCAGGCGCGGGGGAGAATCCGCCTTCTGGATCACCCCTTGCGTAACGTGGGTGGAGACAGTTTGATGACTTGAGGGCTCATGAGTACTTGCTTATTATGACATGGACACGGTCATGGCACGACGAGTGAACCGTGGGATGACTTGCAGGCCCAGCTCAGCTTTGCTTCCTACGAAATGGAGGAGGAGGCTAATGTGGACACTGACGAGGCGTTCTGGATGTCCTTGGAAGAATCCATGATTACACGGTTTTGGGTTCAGAAGGCTAGGAATGTCTTGACAATCTTGCGAAGAAATTCTGCTGTGCGACCTACAGGTGCGGCTAACCTTAGCGGAGAGCTTGCCGCAGCCCTGGGAAGGAAGCCTGCTTGGGTACAGGTGTTTGAGATCAGTGACTGCTGGTGTGAGGCCGAAGCTGCAAGACTTGGATCCACTGGCGCAGGCGCATCAGGGTCCTGATCTAGATGTAGCCTGGGCTCTAGACTGAAGGATGAACTGTGCTTCTGGGCGCTCAAAGCCTCGGAGTCCCAGGAACACCGCATGTGTTGGCAGGCGAGGTCCAGCAACAGCACTTTTGAGATGCCCAAAGAAGGCAGAGCGACGTGGCCTGCCAAAATTCAGTTGGAATTCCCCAGGTCAGGCCTCCAAGCTGAATCTCCAAAGCGCTTGCAAAACCCAAGGCCTGGCAACTCTCCGATTGGAGCTGCAGATGCTACGGATACCAGTCCCGCGCCTTGGCCATTCTGGCAGCCGCTTCTCCTTATTGCGACGACTGCGATTGTTGTCCTGATGCGTTGACCCACAAATCTTGCAAAGATCAAGGAGCTGTTTTGCCTGCATGTCACGAACCATGAGGTCACGGTCGTGGCAGATTTGCTCTCTTTCGAGCCTGCAGAATGCAGCGGGCCCGTGTACACTGATTCGAGGAGCATGGCTTTGCATGGGTCTTGAAATGGGAGGGTGGCTCAAGATGTGTGGTATGATCAGAGCAAGCGATGTTCCCTTTCTTGTGGTGTCGGCAGCGAAGTGGCTTCCTAAACCCTAGACCCTCAATGCTCGGCCCCCTCCTGTAGAGGGTGTCGGTTCCATTCGGTTGCTCTCAAGTACGCCTGGCCCTGGTGGCATTCTCGTCGTTACTCTCAACGTGTTGGATAGTCACTACATGCAAGCTGAGACAGGTTTACCTTCCTCAGCGCTGCTGAAAGGAGCCCGCAGCTTCCGAACCTGGATTCTTCCCTAGCGGTGGAGTCCTTGGCTTTTTGACGTGGCCAATTCTTGTGCCCGCATGAGCTGCCCCAAATGGTACTGCCACAATTCTTGAGTTTGCAAATCGCCGTAATCCCTACTATGCTTTGGGCTAGGCCGCCAGCCAGTAATCATGGTGGGATTGTAGTTTACATGAGACCCTGGCAATTCGTGATGACAAAGCTTGGAATGTGAATGTGCATTCACTTCCTGGTGGTTAGCAGGGAATGAGCGAACATATGTACTATAGTCCAAACTGCCTAAAGGGGGTTATATAGAGGATTATATAGGTGACTTCTATAGGGCTTACTAAGGGGCATACCACTAGTAGGGGTTTAGACTACAGCTCATATAGGGATTAGATTCCCTTCGCTCCCTACTAACCACTAGTAAGTCCAAGGCCATCTTCGATCCTACACCTGGTGATGGCCTCCTCCAAGAGGACAAGCCTGAATAGTAGTTTACCTTTTCTTTTCCTTTTTTTTTATTATGTAACTCCCCTATATGACCCTATATGACCCTTAAATGACTATATAATCCTACACCACCCCTGCATAGCCCTTGTAGAACCACTATGTAACCCCTGGTTATTCTAAACTCCTTAATGGGGGGTTATATATAGGGGATAATATAGGGGACTACTATAATGGTTATTTAGGGGGATACTAGGAGTTTAGACAATGGCTCATATGGCCAGAAGAGCAGCCTGCAGGAGATGCCACTTGACCTGGCACCCAAAGAGGCAGCCGCTCACCTGGACCTGGGGGTCCCTACAATAAGGGTGGGGTCCATGTTATCTATATTGGGGCCTCTTTGGGGGTCCTATGTCATCCATATTGCGGTGCCCTTCTTTTTTATTGTCCCACTCGCCTTTTCGGGGGTTTCTAGGCTGAGCAGTTTCCAGGATGTTGGCACGGTGTTTCAGAACTTGCATGGCTTGGGCTTACTGTGTGGGTGCAATCAGTGCTGTCAAGCACGACAAGGACCTGCATCAGTTTTCGGAGAATTTCATTCTCTAGCAGTCTTTCCTTAAGAAGACATGCGCTGTACCGAAAGAAGTCCCTGAATCTCAAGAGTTCTGAGCTACAGAAAGAGAATAGATTCTTGGAACGTTGCGACCTATGCTGGGCCTTTCAGAGCCTCCAAGCCCACATCTTGTTTGCCTTGCCCTCAAACCTTCCTAAGCTGCCCCACGCCAAGGCCCCGCAGCCATCAGGTGCCCTGGGACCCGGGGCGTTGGAGCCAAGGATTGCCTGCGTTTGCGGCTTTCTGTGTGCCATTTTGGGCTGGTTTGATTGTTTGGTTCATGTGCAGTCCTACATCACCATGCAGTGATGGCACCCTTCAGCTTTATGACTCAGAAGCAAAGGTTCCGATGATCGCATCTGTTGCTTGGTCCAAGCCGGGGGGTGATCAAGCCAAGCTGAGCTCGATGCTTCAACGTTCATCAACAGCTCCTGAGTGCCCACGGCGGCTTGTGGTTCATGTATGAAGCACCTCTGCCAAAACAGCCTTGACGCCAGGACCCCAGAATCCGCTTCGGGTCAGCGGCCCCACCCCGCCGGCTGAAAAATGAAGTCTCTCATGCAGCCCAGGGTTTTTGGGATCTTTTTGTGTGGTTTGAAGGGAAACCTCCACGTGACACGTGTGCCATGGCCCGACCTGGGTTGTAATGCTTGTGCTCGTAGCATTTTGCTAAGCAGCTGTAGTAAAAAGCTGGTAGTGGTGATGATGAGGGTGGTACGTCTCAGGCGTAACAGCCACGAATAGGGTCAAATCTAATGATGTTAGCCATGCATGACGTAGCTGACAAGGCCGCAGTTTTGCGCTGCAACTCTTGTCCTTAGGCCCACCGTTCGTCCGCCCTTGCAGGCCCTTGCTCTTGTTTCCTCCACCGCATGTTGTCCAGAGAAGTTCTTGTTACGTAAACAACACTGGAAATGGAGTCATGCTGCCAAGACGAATCGTCGTCATGAAGCCATTGGCATCATTGCCTTAATCTTCTGTTCTTACATTTCAATGGGGGATTCGCGCTGCACAGGTATTTCGCTCTTGAGAGATTCTTTGCAGTGGCCATGCGCAAATACCAGGTTCGACCAAACCAATATGAATCTCAGAGATGAGGTTTCAGAGACATGTCGCAGAGGTGTCAGAGAAGCACGCGTTCTGAATCCTCCTCAAGCCTCTGGCTAAGCCTCAAAGAGGATTGGAACAGAAGAAAGCTAGCCTACATCAGATAGAAGATTCCAGAAGCAACCCCAGCCAGAGAACTGTCAGCACATGCGCTAGTCCAGAACATCCGTTACAATACCTGGAGCCCACAACGGGATCAGGAACTGGAGTAGGCATGATGGGATCTCTCAGATGGCATGCCCCAGCCAGATGCGTGCTGGCTTTGGGTTTGGCTTGGGCCTCAGGTGTGCGCTTCACCCAACACAAAGAGTACTCGTGAAGAAAAGATCTATGTTCAGAATTCCGCAAAAACTTGCCAATGTAGTGCTGTTTGCCAAAAGAGTCATAAAACGAAGTGGTGGCAATCCGAGGCACTCGCTGCAACATCGCTGACCTTTGTTCTGCCTAGGCCGCTGGAATGTCTGTCTTGAGTTGGAGGGTTCAGGCTAGTGCCAGAAAGTGCTCCGCGTTCTTTGAACTGAACCCAATGTGTTGAAAGTTAAGCTTGGCAGTGGTGAACATTGTGCAACAATATTTCATTTTAGATGGCCATGTGGCACTGTGCGAACACGGTCTTCAGGGAGCCTTTGGCAAAAGGCCAACAGCGTGTAGACGACAGTGTGTAAAGGTATCATTGGAGGAATCGCAGCCTTGGGAGCCTTGATAGATCCTATGCTTAGCCATCCCAAAGATTCTTGTTGAAGTGATATGGTACGTTGTCCCAGCTATGGTCCCTTTCTGGGTACTCAGTATGATACGGCTCCCAATACTTAGGGTTCCCCAAAAAGGCACCATGAGTTTGACAACCTGTCATAGAATAGCCTTGATCACGGTCCTTGATGTGGCTAAGATAGGGGGGGGCCTATCCTAAGGTTATTCCGGATGTTTGGTATCAACAGTACTCGCAGTCACCTTCAATAGAGGGTCCCCAAAATAGACCTCAAAATATTCGAACCCTTAGTATAAAAGCCCTAGGAGCCCTCCTAATCCAGGCAGCAAAACTCCTCCTCTACGGCTCCGGGGCCTTCTGTTGCGCGAAGTCCCCAAACCTGCTTGCTTCTCCACGTGGCTGATTTGGGGGTTTCCAAATTCTGGGTACCATTTTGGGTCCCCATAATAAGGACTATAGTATATTGGGGCCTTATTGGGGTCCCCTTATGTAGGGAAACAGCCTTTCCCACTTTGAGGATTCATTGTCGTGCTACATGGGGTTATGCATGGGAATGTATAGGGTTTTGGGTCATTTCCAAAAGTCGGATCCCTTATGAATCCCAACTTACCCTGCCCACCTTGAGAAAATGCCCAGGTTACGGGATGTTGTGGGATTGCGTATCACTGCGCTAGATTGAATAGTTCGGATGTTCTAGGATTCAGGCAGAAAGTTTTGGATTACCCCGCCTCAGATTCTCCTGTTTTGGCGTGCCTGGATTTGGCATGTAGGGGACCGCCTTACTTTTCAAAGTCAACTGAACAATTGTGATGTTTTTCTCATTCAGATGCTGTTTAGGGACTATGCTGGGGGTGTGCTGGGAATTGCATCGAGTTACTTGTTGCTGGCTATGCACTATGAGTTGTAATTCGGTTTTCGCCACTGCTATCTAGCTGCTCTGGAAGTTCGCAGGTAGCTATGACTTCATTGAGATATCTATGGGTATGCCCGAAATCAGGTTGTTTGCTCAAAATATTAAAGTAGTCGGACATGATCTTATACTCCGGATATATCTAGGGTCCCGCAGGTTACCGCTATTTGATAAACTGCACATGCATATACCTATGAACATCCAAGTAGGGTGATACCGCGAAGCGCAATTCTGGGCGCTTGTCACGTGTGACTTTGGGGCTTGCAGCTCTTCTAATGGGCCATTATGTTTTCAAACCAAAAAAAGGTCATGGGCCACCCGTAAACCCTTTCTCCCCCAGGTCTCCAAAATTAGTGAAATCACAAGGGCGGCTTGTTTTGCGACTCTCGATCGGCTCGACTTCCGGTATTAAAGGCCATAAGCGGCTGCATAACCCCAGTTCCTGTTTCAAATTCCATTTGT